GGGACGAGGCTGGTTACTCTGGGCTGTCAGGAGAAGGAATTACCCAATCAAAAAGGCACCGACTGCTTTTCTCCAGCAAAAGTTTCTGTTGTCATGAAAATGGCTGGCAGATGGAAAGCTTTGGGGAGCTGAATCGGCTTCGCTTCAGCTCCCTGAACCACCATCAGAGGCAGGTAATAAACACCGTTATTAAAGAGTGAGTAATTTGCTGCAGCTCCAGCACGGTGAATTTGCACAGCGTATCCCTGCCTTTGCTTGATGCAGATCCCCTCCCTGCCCTGGGGCCCTTGCAACCAGGCCTGGCAGCACTGCTCATGGCACTCCTCTGCCCACTGCTCCGAGAGGGTCTTTTTAGGCTGGACTTTGAGTCAGCTTCTCTCTGTCTGTAGAATTAGTGATGGGCAAAGGATTGGTGTTTTTGGCTGAAAAGCCAAAACACGGTGCTGAGAGGGGGGAAAGCCCTTTATAGGTTTCCTCTCAATAGTCCTTACTGCTGCTGTTTGTCAATGAAGTGAAGAAGGCAGCAAAGCAGTCCGAGTGCTCCGGTGAGCCTGGAGCAGAGTGCTTAACAGAGACATTGAAAAACTGTGTAGCTGCCACCAGTGGGAGCCTCCTAAGCAGGGGGGGCAGATCCCCACCCGATGCCTCCATTTCTTTGGCAGTAGCAGATATTAGCACCATTTGGCTTGCACGGCACCTATTGGCCGGGGTACCAGCTGAAGTCTGCGCAATGTGCTCGTGTGCTGGACATCAGTATGCTATTCACAGGCCATGGTGGGAAACTGGGTTTGGAAAAGTGAAGGAGACATGTGCCATGTCCACAGTCTAAGGGAGAGCAGATTATTGGCAAATAAGTGAAACGTCTGAGCTGCGAGGAGAAGAGTGATGCCCCAGGAGAAGGAAATCCCCCTGAGCTGAATGAAAGCAGATAGAGGATAACATAAACAGGCAACGTGAGGAAGAGAGGTGATAGCAGCGCCAACCTTCAAGGAGCTCATGAATCATTTGTACGTATGTGTTTTAAATAGAGACAAATGAGCAGTTCCTAATAACTGATGTACGTTGCCAGCCTTGTCGGATAGCAGGGGGACATGGAGAGAGCACATGGCTTCATCCCATCTCAAACCCTCTGGAAGGGGTGGATGTTTCCCTGTCCTCACTGGTGACAACCACTAGCTGCCTGTTGTGTCCTTATTCTGCCCTCAGCTGGCTCTTGCCTGGGTAAAAGTGGGGTCTCCTTTGCAGGTCAACCCGAGCTGAGTGACAGGACGTGGTCAGGGTGCCATAGCCCTGGGGAGCTCACAGACAGAGGGAGAGCCTTGAGGTGAATATGATAGGTCTGGAGCAGAGGATATGAGTGAAATGAGAAAGCTGAAAGAAGAGTTGGAGCCATGTGGGGTGGCAGTCATGTTCTGTTCAGTGCTAGGAATAAACAGCAATGGAGAAAATCTATGTGAAACTGAAGACTGGAACCACTAGCACAGAGAAACCAGCCATGAGTAAAATTACAACCCACATGCATGAGCTTTTGCTCTCCTTCCTGCAGCAGTGAGAACATCTTGGCAATAAGCACATCCTCAGGGAACTCTGTGAGATGCTCTGTGGCTGGGGCTCACAGTGCATGCAGGTATCTGGGCAGAGAGCTTGTCTGGGCCAGAGCACCATGCTCACAGTTCTAATTCTGAGCAACTGCTCTCACGGACATATCTAAGCAGACATTAGACTGAGGGAGGGGTGCCAATATGCGTCCCTCCAGAGGACAGCAGCCAAACAGTATGTCCTTAGGTGTAGAAGCGTCTGGTGAGAGCTGTCCATCACTTCCAATTGGCACAGCTCACTCCCACTGGCTCACTAGGGCTTGCTGCTGGGGGCAAAGATTGGCTGGGGGCAAGCGTTTCAGTCCTGGGAGCTGAGATGAAGGTCCCAACGCAGCTGTCGGCACCTCGAGAGCTCTCCTAGCCTCATCCTGGCCCCATCCAGGCACAAAGCAGGCGGCTGCCCCATGGCACCCCATTGCCTCCAGCAGCGGGGCATCCCCTGTATCCCCCCATCTCCCTTGCCATCTTGCAGGATCTCCCGCTCGCAGCGTTGTTTATTCGTTTGCATCTCTCCAGCTAAAAAAGGGGACACCGAGAGGGCCCAAACGTGCTAATTTTACACCTCACCACCCACACAGCCAGGCGTATCATCGCCGCCGCCCTCCTCCAACCCCCTGCCCCTCCCCAGCTCGCTCCCGGCTCACGGGGACACCTGGGGACCCCGCAGCCCCCGCGCTGCGTGGACCGCCTGGGACACCTAGCGGCCACCTCTACCCACGGCGGCCGGGGGGAATCGCTGCAGCTGAGCCACCCGATTTGCTGTTTCTCCCCATTTTTCCTGAGCGCTCTGACCTGCCCGGTGCCCTAGGCCAGGCTAGGCTGCCCTTCTCACTCGGGAACGTGAGGACGCATAGCGCAATCACGGCCTTCTAATGAGCCCAAGGAGTAGGGCAGAGTGTTTGCTTGACAAGGCAATTAGCTGATGATTGATTCCTGGAACAACCACTTAATTCATCATTAACTGGACTAATCGCAGGCAGCATCTGTGCGAGGGTCTCAGCGGGTGCTGCACTGCCAACCTGGGGCAGCCAAGGGGATGGGCTGCGGAGGTGGTCTGCGTCATGCACGGATCCCAATTTGGTATGTTTTCATTGTCGTGCCTTATTTTGGTTCCTTCTATACCTGGTTGGAAAAGACCGCAGTACTCAAAGCAGTTTTCCTGCTCTGCAGGGAAACCAAGAGAGCTAGGGAGAACCCAGCGCAATGGTTTATAGAATCACAAAAAGGCTTGGGTTGAAGGGACTTCAAAGTCACCTTGGTCCCAAGGCATGGGCTGCCCCAACCAGGTCAGGCTGCCCAGAGCCCCATACAGCCTGGCCTCAAGTGCCCCCAGGGATGGGCTCCCACAGCTTCTCTGGAAACATGTTTGTGGTGCTCAGGGTGAGGAGGCAGCTTGCAGGGACAGCACTCATTGTCTTGGCCACAGTGCTCAGCCTGACTATAGAGAGCGTGCAGGGCTGAGGCATGGGGCGCTGTGTTCCCCAGGGTATTATGCCCCTATGCCATGTGTACACCTATATTTGGGCACCTTGTGCCTGATAGTATCCCACTGCTGCTGCCTGCTGCCAGCAACATAGGGCTAATTGGTCTCCACGCTACACTGTCATGCTTGTAATGAGGACAGAGAATGTCTGCTCTTTCCAAGTTGGGCTTTTACATCTTATTTGCTTTCATCAGCCTGCTTCATTCCTCTTCCCCCAAGCCTAGATAACTATTACCAGGCTTACTCTGTGAAGTCCTAGTGTGGCTAAATCTTATGTACTATCCCAATAAACCACATAGGGCTTGGGAAAGATCTTTCCAGTCCTGCTGGCGTAGCTGGCGCTGTGCCTCCCTCTTCCTGCAATTCCTACCTGTAGTGTTTTTGTAGCCCTGATCTCCACTAGGCTCTAAATCATCGTATACTCCTCAGAGTGAAAGACAACAAGGAAAGGAGTTTAGTGCAGGTCACTCTACAATCCTGGGATGCTCTTAGATGTGACTCAAGTCAGCCAGCCCATGTCTCATCATCTGGCCCCACCCCCTGAGATGCCCTATGTGAGCAGATCTCTGCCCAGCAGCAGAGATCCACCAGCTGTGTAGGGGTGCTCTTCCTGCTCTGCCCCATCATTTCTCATGGCTTTTTTTTTTTTTTTTTTTTTTTTCTGAGGTTTTGCTGTGAGTTACTGGTGGCTTCACTGTGTCCAATCTCTGCTTGTTTTTCAGAGCTCCCATCCCAAACACTCCCTGCTCCCTCCCAGGCTGGCTATCGGGTTCTTAATTCCTCACAGCCCCTTTCCCTTCTTTCTGTCCCTCACTCACACTGTGCACACTACCCAGTTCTGTAAGCAGTCCTCTCTCCCTCCTCAAAATCAGTGCTGATGGTCTCGCCTGTGATAAGCAGCAACCTCCACACCTGCAGCATCCCCTTGCCGGCTCCCTCCCAGGGAGGTAGTGCATCCACATCTGGTAGTGCAGCCAGAAACATTCTTGGAGATGCTGAAGCCTCACCACAATCAGCAGCTTTGCTGGAGTTGGGGTCCTAGTTGGGCTGCTACACTCAGGTGATGTAGAGACTGGTCAGTCCTAATTGTTTATTTTATAACGAAAAATTCCTCCATCCCTGGAGGAATTCAAGGCCATATTGGATGGGGCTCTGGGCAACCTGATTTAGTTTCTGATTTAGCAGATGACAACCCTGCCCACATCAAGGTGTTGGTTCTTTAAGGTCCCTTCCAACTGAAGCCATTCTATGATGTTGTTATAAATCTGATTTGCATATTGAGGTGAGCATAATTATTTTGGTCTGTGCAGGAAATGAAAATTTCTGTGATACCAACGTGCATCACCCTTAAATATTGTGGAAATACTTCCTGGCCATCTGCTGCGTGAGCCATTGAGTACCTTATTGGCAAGGTGGGAGGGCAAAGAAAGCAGACAATGATTTTGGGGAGGGAGGTGTAGAGAGCACTCGTGCAGTGTTTTAGCAATGTGGGAGTACTTTTGAATGGCTTCATTTTCCTAAACAGCTTTCTAAAATGTGCCAACTGCTGCCAACACAAAGCCCATCAACAGGGACATTTACAACGGGCTGTGGCACTAAAAACTGTGCAGTACGGCAGAATTTGGCCGAGTGAACAGGGCCTTGTGGGAAGCAGTTGGGCTTTTTGCTCCCTGGAGTCCTCAACTTCAACTTCTTCATTTATATTTTCTTTCTGAGGATTGATTCGAAGCCAAAGCAATGCTCCTGCCATCGGTAGGGCACCACAGGGAGCCCTATGGCAGGTAGCAGTGTGCTCTGCTTTGCAGCATCCAGCAGAGGAAGCAGCTGCAGAGGTCTCTGGGGAGCAGAGTGACATTTGGGGCTGCAAGGCAGGAGGGTGGCACGCTCCAGCAGCTGGGAGCATGCAGGGAGGGCTGGAAAAGAGAGCACATGGATACTGAGCAGCGCAAAGCGATCATTCCTCTCTCCTGGGGGATTCTGATATTTCACTACACATTTTCTATGTGCTGAGGTGGGCTGGAAAGCCAAAACAGTAAGCGCTCCTTTGAAGAAATAGGGTTGAAATGTTTCATCTCAGAAAATTTCATGTGAAAAAAAAAAAAGAAGGCAGCAGAGTGTTTCAGCACTCTGAAATGGAGGAAGAGAGTAAGGATTGGAATTTTCCTGAGGAAGAAACCCGTGTTGGCACCGGTAGCCAAAGGCTCCTGGCTTTCCTCAGCTGTTGCCTCCCCACACCCCAGCCTTAGCCCAGCCACAAGAGAGCCCCTAGAGACTGTCCCGTGTCCATGAAACCACTATCTGAACATGCTTTGTAGCAGTATGGATTATGAGCCAGCTCTAAAGATGCAGAGGGACTGCTCCCATCAGGCTGCACGTGGCCATATCGAGATATGTTATGGACACAGCAATCTTAATCCAGCCTGAACCAGATCACTTTGCTGCATGGCTGGATCCTTATCTTTCTACCAGCTGGGAGGGACGAGAAGATTTCATTTTGGTGGGAGGGCGTTCAAGCTGTGGGAAGTGGGGGAGGGCTCTTCTTTTCCCTCACACTGGCAAATCCTATTCCCTCTTGCCTTGCTCATCTTGACATTGGCTCTGCACGGGCAATGGCTTCCCCACTGCCTTGCCGTGCGGAGGTTACGCCCTCCCCTCTCCTCTCTGCTCCCACAGGATTGCTCTTACCCTGCCAACAGCATGGAGAGTGTGCGTGAGCTCCAGGACCCACTGTTGGCCAAGGCTAACGGGCACCTCCACAGCAGCTATTCTTACCACCAGCACCACAGCCAAGACTACCCCGGCCACCACTGCCAAGGGAAACTGTACTCCTACATCTTCCAAAACACTGGCGGAGCCAGGACTCACCAGCTGCTGGATGCCAGCTCCCTGCAGCTGGCTGTGGAAGCCTTGTACGGCCCCAATTTCATCCTTGTGAAAGATGAGACTGCTCTCAAGGCAAAGGACAGCAAGACAGAGAGCTGTGAGACCACTTTTACAGAAGGTAAAGAGGTTCTGTCTGACAGTCCTGATGGGCATGATGTACAAGGGTCCTGCCTGGTAGAGAGTGACATCCGCATCCAAACAGTGTCCTATGAGGTGGAGGAGGAGGAGCTCCAGGAGTACGAGGTGAGCTTTGTGCGGAGGGTTGGTATAACATACCTCCCGTGGTGACTGGGCTGTGCTTGCCTGCCCTCCCAGACCCCACTCTCTCCTTTCCCCTCATTCTCTGTGCACCCAGAATTTCTTCTTTCTGCTTAAAATTCACGCTCTTTCCCCTAAGCATGGACCTCAGAAGGTCACCAGCTTTTCTGCTGGCAGCCTGGAAGCCGGGGCCATCTCTGCAGCTTATGGTGACAGGAACCCTTTGACAAGGGCAATCTGTGGCCACCGTGTTGCTGAATGTAATGGGAAACAGCGCTGCTGTTGCATAACAGCGACATTCACATGCATGATGTCAGTGCAAGAAAGCTTAATATATCAGAGCAGGATGGATCTTGCAGGGAAAGAATAAAGCTGGCAAAGCAGCCTCATTCTGCACGTTACCCAGGACCTGGCAGGTCCCCAGAGCATGCTGGAGCCAGTGCCCATCTGCTGGCACAGCTCTGCTGCTACCCTGAGGGCCTGTAGTATGACTTCCCCGGCTCTCCCCACCTCTCCGTGGCTTCCCAAAGCACACATTGCTGCCAAACACCTCAGCTGGGCAGGCCGTGGCCAAACACAGGCAAGCTGATGGCAGTGACGTGAGAAATGGGATTGCTAAGAGGGCAGAACACACTGCCACCGTGATGGAGGCTCCAATTCAACCGCTTTCCTTCAATCTCTAAATTAGTTTAGCAGGATATCGATCTGCCGGTCCCTAATGGGGTTAAGGCACTTTGTTTAAGTTTGTTTAAGCTGACAAACGGCCAGCTCCGCCAAAGCTCCAGATATCTCAGTGTAAGAATATCTCGCAGGGAAATCCTAGACCCTAGCCGGTGAGCTCAGCAGTGTTCTGGCAGGGAGCCGAAGTGCCTGAATGTGCTGAGCCACGACTTTCCTCACCAAACCCGGCTGAGCTGCCAGAAGATTTCTGAAACTCAGGCCTTGGATGTGGAGCTGGGAGGTATGTGAGGACCTGGAGCAGGACTGAGCAGGAGCTGGGAGGAAGGACAGGGCTGCAGGGCACGTGGGGTCATTGGGAGCAGTGGCTGGGCCAGCTGGGCTGCGGGTCAGCTCATGGAGGTGCGGGTGCAGCTCCCTGCAGGCCCTGACTTTGTTTATCTTTGCAGAGCGACTCCTCTAGTGACAGTGAAAGTGAGGACCAATTCCTGATGCTCCCCCCCCGAGACCACCTTGGCCTGGCCCTGTTCTCCATGCTGTGCTGCTTCTGGCCCTTGGGAATTGCTGCATTCTACTTCTCCCAAGGGGTAAGAGATTCCCGGCCGTGGGCTTCTTTGCTCTCTTGCATGTGCTCAGCCCTGCAGCAAAGGGTCCTGCAGGGCGCAGGTCATCCTGTTGCCCGTCTCTGTGCCCAGACCCCTGAGGGCCGGGGCAAGGGGTGCTTCTTGCTGCTGGATGTCTGTATAGCTGCTGTGAAAGTGCAAGTCCTTCAGCTGCTGGCAGCTGAACTGCTCTCCTGGGCATTCAGGTGCAATTCAGGGAACTGGGGTTCCTGTTGCTCCTGGGTTTCACCCTACAGCAAAGCAAAGGAACATGGCATTTTCCATTTGCCCTCCCATTCTCCAGCAGTAATGAGACCCTGCTCTGTGATCCCACCTGCTACTCATGCTCTGCAGACCAGACATGCTGGAGACTCTGGTCCCCATATCACCATACCTTTGTTTCTGCTCCTCACACATTAAATTCTGTGTGCTTGCACCAGGCTGTGTGAAGCTGGAAAGCTTTGTAAGTGTGTAACAGTAGCATCTAGAACAGAGCCAGTAAGAGGACTGGGACCTGCAAAGTGGCTGATTTCATGTTTCTGCGCATGGTACAGCATGGCATGCTGCATTCTCCATGTGATAATGTGCTTCATACAATTCAAACGTAGCTCTGCTATAATTACCACTTGGGCTCACTCTGTGGGGCAAAGAGTATCTTTTTGGCTGTATGTATGCACAGTGTCTACCCTGATTTTAACAGATCAACTAGAGCACCAGCCATGAGCAATGCTGACAGCAGCTCTGAGTGCACCCTGAGCATACAGGGCAGCTGGAAGTTGCCAGCCGGTGAGCTAGCACTCACATCACCTTCATTGCTGGCTTCACTGGCCCTTCTTTATCAATAAGTTTCAGCTGAAGATTCAAAATCTTCAGATTCAGAATCAAACAAAATCTTTTAAATGTCATTAAACATAAAGTATTCAAGAAACGTGTCCATGTGGCACAAGGGACATGGTTAGTGGGCATGGTGAGGATGAGCTTCTGGTTGGACTGGATGATCTTAGTGGCCTTTTCCAACCTTAATGATTCTATGATTCTAAATGGCCTATTGTTCCCTCAGTTTGATGCTCTCCTAGCACTCCTGGGATAAGGTAGCCAGCTGATTCAGCTGTACACTTAGAAAGCACATAAGCCACAGCTCCTACATAGTCACAGTATTCGTCCTGAGATCTTTTTAAATACAGAGTGATCAGCAAAAATGCAGAGCATCAGCAGACTTCCCACTTAGCCCACTCAAGGCAACAAAATCTGTTCGCAAAGCACAGTGACATAACCACATTAGAATGCACTCCACGATAAATTTAAGTATCAAAAAACACAGCACTAGCCTAGGGCTCTTCTCAGGTTCATACAGAGAGGGACATCTGCAGAGGGGACAACAGTGAGGCCACTTATCTGAGACTCCTTGCTTTGAATAGCAGAATATGGACCTCTAATTTGGCATGTTTTTGGGTGCCTGTACATCCCACTTTTAGCTTCAGCAGTTGAATGAGGCATGCTCCAGCTCGTGCACATCCATACCTCTGCGTGTGGCTGCCTGTTGCACACAGGTGAGAAGGTACAGTAGTGTGTGCTTCTTCTCCTTCCAGACCAGCAAGGCTGTCTCCAAAGGAGATTTCCACTTGGCCAGCTCAGCTTCCCGCCGAGCTCTCTTCCTTGCCGCGCTCTCTATAACCATCGGTACAGGCGTGTACGTCGGGGTGGTGGTGGCACTTATCGCATATCTCTCCAAGGGGGGCCACGTGTAACTGCTGCCTGCACACCAGCATGGTCCCCAGCCACCAGTCCTCCTGGGATCAAGCCTTCCTGTGGAGCACAGGGTGCCAGTGCTTGCAAGGGCTTCTGGCATAGCAGGACCTTGGATACCCCGTGCCAGCTCTTTCCCTTTTCAGACACACAGCAGATCCTTGGAGATACTCAAAAGCTACCTGGACGTGGCTGTGGGCAAGCAGCTCCTAGGAGGTCCTGCTTGAGCAGGGCTTGGACCAGATGCCCCCTGGAAGTCCTTTTCCAGCTTCAACTGTTCTGTGTCCTCCCTGGTACTGTGGGGTGACACCATCTGACAGCAGGGAACTGAGTAGTGACCTGACCGCTGAGGCCAGGAGGACCACACTGGAACATGTGTAAAAGCTGCTGCTGGCTACTGCCACCGTTCTGCTCCAGGGCCACCACTTGCTCTCCCAACCTTGCAGTGGGGACAGCCACCTCCGATGCCCAGGCTTTGCCCATGAAGGGGACAGGCAAAGAGGAACGACTGCTCTTTCTTTTGGGCATTTGGGGCCCTGGTGTGGATTCAGGACTCCTATGATGGGGACAACAATCTCCTGTCAGTGTCATGAGTGGCACCTGGCCCTCCAGCTGCAGCAAAGGAAGAGGGTGCAGCATGAACATGACCAAAAGGCATGCTCTGGGGTGCTCTCTGCATCCTTTCCAGATGGACATACAGTAGCTAGCCTGCTCCAGATGAGAACCAAGAAGAAATGCAAGCTGGTGCTTGCAGACAGTCGACCTGATCACCAAAGATGGTAGCAAAATCCACAAGGTTTTCCAGTATTCACAATGATTGTACCAGTAACTGTAGTTCAGAGCTCCAGAAGGGCTGGCATCCCATGGTGATCTGGAGATATTTGAAGTGGAAACTGCTGCCCACAACAAGACTGCGGGGTGTGGGGGGAAGATCTTAACTCTCAACACTGAGCTGGGGGTTTGCACACCAGGAGTGGAGAGCACAAGACTGGCATGACATGCAGAGCTCAGGTGGGTGCTGGAAGCAAGGATCCAGAGAGGCGGAGGCCTGAGGGGAGCACAGGAAATGGGGAGACCCCAACATACTCCTTCCCACATCTTGGAGAGGGGCATCTCCATCTGTCCAGAGGCCTCTGCTGACTAGGAAGTACGGTACATCCATGACTACAACTGACTTCTGTCAATTTGTATGTTAGTGACACACCAAGTGCTTCAGGGATGGACACTAAGGCAGTGACTGCCCCAAAGCGCTCGGTTCAAAGGCCTTTCCTCACCCCTTCCCTGGTGCCCTCTCACCCCTCTGCCGCTGGCTCTGCAAGTAGCACAGTGTGCTCCTCACATGTACATTTCATCCTAAAGAAGCATGTTAGTATCTGCAATTCCTGTTGTACTCGAGCCATAAAGGAGAGAAGCACATCAGAGACCTGTTCAGAAGCAGTTCTGAAAGTTCCCATTATGTTTTATAATGTGGAAGAGCTAATAAAAGAGCAGGCAAAACAACACTTTGCGCTAACGCAGGTCTGCAGAGGGAAGAGGTGAGCTCTGCAGGCTTCTGTGGGAGTGCTGAGATGGCCAACAGCTGAAGGTGTTCTGTGGCTCCCCATGGAGATGAGCATCCAGCTGATGGCTGGGCAGTGTGGGGGGGAGCCGTGCTGCAGTGTGCATCACAGCCAGCAGCCTGTGCTGCGATGGCATGGGCTGTTAGCCATGAGGGGGGACAAGAATTGGGTAGAGAGAGGCTGGAAGATTGCTGTTCAGGCTGTTCTGCCTGGAGGAAAAGCTTCAAATAAAATGTGTTCAAGGAAGATCTCCCTGCACACCTCTGGGTCCAGCTCCTGGTCCCTGCAGGACCATTCCCAACCTTTTCCATGTCTCATTCCTGCCCCTTCTTTAATTGGAGGCACAGGGGAAAGGACTGGGCTGGAGGACCAACAGAATTAAAGTGTTTTCCACTAATAGCCTGAATCTCTGATGAACTTGTAAAGAGGGGAAAAGGGGCCGAGCAAGCACATCCCTAAGGGAGGTATTATGCAAATGGAGAAATTAGTTGGAAACAGCCTGAAGGGAAACGTGGAAATTGAAATCTGAGGACCAGCACAGAGACTGCTGCTGAATAACTTATCACAGACACCCAGCGTCTGCTGCAGCTGCTGGAGCACAAGCAGAAAGGCAGTGAACACAGCAGTCAGGGAACAGGAGAGGTTCAGAAATGTGACTGAGCTAAGAAAAATTTTAAAAAAATCAAACCCAATCAGTAGGCACAGAAGAGATTATTCCCTCCTGTTCTCCCCCAGTACCCCTCGGCATCCTCAGCTCCATGGCAGAGTTCCATAGCTGTCCTGACCCCATGGGGCATTAATCTAAATTATGACACCTATTTGCAACTAAGCCTTCCCCACAGAGGCTGCAGGTTCTGCTGCAGGTTCTGCACCCCCAGCCCCAACCTACTGCATGGGCAGGATCCTGCAGCCCCCCAGGCCCACTGCTCAAAAATGCCCATCTCAGCACCGTGGTCCTACCAGCACCTCTAACCCTTGCCCTGGGCTGGTGACACAAGGCCAGAGAGGGCACAGTGCAGGGTGTCCATCTGCCCCACCTGTGTGTATGGGCAGACAGAGCCCCTTCCTAGGAGGAACTGATCATCTTGGCAAAATCGCTACTGCCACTCCACGTGTGTCCTCTGGGGATGGCAAGGAAGGAGCTGGAGGAAAACAAGCACAATCCATTCTTCTCCTCTTTTAACGGCACAGCCAGTGTTCTTCCTTCACATCAATTCAGTGTGGAAATAGCTAATTGAGATTGGATGCGTTTTCTATTCCTGCTAAAAAAATAATCAAGGAAAACAATGCATCTCAGCACATCCCTGAGGCAGCCTCCCCTCTCCCCTTGTCTTCCCACAAACAGCCTGCAGCAGGGCACCCACAGCCATGCCACCTCTCTGTGACCTAGGGGAAGATTTTCAGGAGAAAAGCCAGTCAAGGGCCACCACTGCAGCATCAACTCTGAAAGCAGGGTGCTCATTACCCCTCCTCCACTATCCTCAACACAGGAACGTGCCATGGGGCTGAGCTGTCCCACTCTGCTTCTGCCCCCATGTCCCCATCATGCCGAGGTGGGGGGATGCTTGGGAATGGTCGGGCACCACTCTGCAGGACTCTCATGGAGTTCTTTTCCAAAACTCATGTTTTCCAGATGTTGATTGTGCTAAAACAATATGACACATCAGCATTCTTGTTGTGTAGCAAAGTAACAGCAGGGAATGCAGCACCTGGATTCTGGCTGAAAGGTACTGTACCGGGTACCACTGTCAAGCATAACTGGTCCAAAACAGCTATGATGGGTTTTAAAGGGTTACTAACATTGCAGAAGATCTGTGTGTCCCGAGGACAAAGTCCTTAAGGAATAGCATGAGGATTGATCTTCTACCACATTTACATTAGCAAATCAGCATAGGAAGGAGGGATGCACTGGTGACATTTGCTAATGAGACAAAATCAGGAGGATCTGGAAATACAGAATAGAAGTAAAACAACTCAGCAGACCAGAGCAGCAGTACTGGGATGGGATTGAGCAGTGGGAAATGCAAAGGAGTTGAATGGAGATCCAGATAATCTCCTTTTCTCCTCATCTTGTCCTCCCTTCCCCACATACATTTTCTCAATAATTAATTGGTTTTGTGTTTGCCGGCTCGGATCTGAATGGCAGCACTGACTTCTCTGTCCTGTGGCTGCATGTCTTCCCAGTGGTTCCAGTGAGGCCCAGGAGTTGTTCATGCCCCCAGGAGCTGCAGGAGCCTGGGGCAAGCAAAGCCCCACTGCAGGACTGCCTAAGGCAGCTCTGCTAATGGGAAGGTAAGGGGGACCACCGGGGATCCAGGAGCTTTTGTAAAGATCACTTCTATCACGAAAAACGCATCTGGAAAGCCAACTGCTAACTAGCTGCAAGCTAAATTTCAAGACTGCTAATTTTTGAGCCCAGGGGAAGGACAGCTTCCAGGCGGAGACTACTGGCCACCACAGCCACAACAGCAGAGCTCCTGCACTGCCAAGGAATGGCACCCAGACCAGCTCTTCCCAGCTGCAGGCCATTACCGCTCATTAAGTCATTTGGAGTAGCATGGTTTATGAGGCAGACTTATTGCCCTGCTAACTGCCACACTTAACATCCCGGTTTAACAGGAGCACTCACCTTGTAACCCATTCAGTTTTACTGCAGGGATGATCTTCTGCCTCCATCAGCCAGCATCTGCCTTTGCTCCATCTGCTTGTGTTGTCACCAGGTGGGATGATGCTCTTACCCACCTGAGGACAGGAGGGAACGGCAGGATGGCATCACTGTCCCCGTACTCCAAGCACCCCTGCCAAACTCTGGCCCTGGTAACATAGCTGTGACCCAGGCAGTGCCTCACTACCTCAGTCTGACACAGCATAACAGATGTGAACTGTGCATGGGCAGGGGCTGCTCCCCATAAGCTTCGTGGCCCCCAGCCTCTGCATTTCAATCTCCTTTTACTGTTTTCATTTCCACCTTGGCCTTGGTTGGTGCTTCAAGTGTCCACCTGCAAGGGATCTCAGTGACACTGGAACTAAACACCTCTCTGTGTTGGCAGAAGGAGAAATGTATTGCACAGCACATGGCAACACGGGGCAGAGCCACTAGGACTGCCTTGATTCATGTCCTACTGTCATTTAGGCATGAGAACAGCAGGTAGCCTGCAAGTTCTACCACTCTACCACCATCATGCCATGCAGGAGCTGCTGTCTCAGCACTGGAGGGAGGGAAGTATCTGTGAAGGCTGCTGGAAAGAGAACAGAAGGTGTCTGCCTTGAGCAGCACAGCTTGCAGCCCCCTGCAAAGGGAAAGCTCAGAGTGCTGACTGCTGAAGAATCACCTTGGTCCCAGTTTGTGATACTAAAGCATGGAATACCCCCCATCTTCCCACTGTGTAACATGTATAAGTGCACATGTAAAACTCTTGGAAGAATGTTATTTTTACATGACTCCCCATCCAGGCACCCAGCTAAGGACAAAGAAAGCATAATACCTGGATCTCCTCAAGCATTTTGCAAGAAAATAGTAGATTACAATGCGTGTGCAAAATCCCCTTTTGAGAGGAGTCAGACAATGATAACAAAGATGAACCATCCCTCCACTCTGCGGAGGGCTGGGAAGTCCCTACAGGCTCTCCTGCTCTCCCCCAGCAAATACACAGTATACTGAATGCAAATCCCAGCCCCATCCCTGCTGCTGTCCACAGCTCAGAGCCCCCTGATGGACCTGAGCTTGGTGGTCACATAAACCATCCTTTGTCACCTAGGTCCAGTAGAATGAAGGCACAGCTTTGCTCTAGAGGCCTTGTGCACCTTCACAGCTTACTGCTGCCATGGAGAACAGTTACCTCAAGTCCCCAGCAGTTCAGAGACACAGATAATCATTCTAGAGTAATTACCAGCTTACTCCCTTGGAGGAGTTCACTGGTGAGAAATCACTGGCAGCTAATTACTCCAATTACTTCCTGACACACAGAGCTCAGAGCTCTCTGCAGTGGCACCAAGCATTGCTCAGCATCTCCCTGCACCCCAGTGCAGGGGCCTTCCCACAGTGCATGGCTCTTCCTGCAGCACCCACCACCCCCAGATCCCTCCTATGAGACCACACACAGTATTCATTCTCCTCACAAAGAACATTTTCTAGGGGTGTATCAATGGTGGTGAGATCCTGCTGGCGTTCAGCACTGTTCCATCACATCACTAGGGCCTCCTAAGGGTGCCCACAGGACCATTCTGATCCCCTATGCACAAGGGAAGAACCACACAGGACTGGGAATGGAAGTTTTTATTGCTTTTAATTCTTACAATTTGGGTGTGTACAGCCATGACTGCCACAGGCATGCTGTAAAGTGACAGCCACGCCACACTGGACTTGTAGCATGATTCAGGGAAAGCAAAGACTTAGGGCCTGCAGCACCTGGTCTCTGCCCTACAGCAGGCAGACACCTTCACACAGGCACTAGGGAAGAGACACAGAGGATAAGGCAGCTCTGAGAGAGTTAAGGACCACGAAAGAGGTAATTGCTACAAGACCAGAAAAGTCCTGTCAAGATGCTTCAGTGCCTACAGAAGATGCCAGCTTCTGGCTTGCTAAGGGAGCCCAACATGTTCCCAACATAGATTGCATCAGGGACACAAAACAACCCCCCCTCCCCTCTACCTGCCTCTGTTTCCTCTAGGGGAAATCAGGGCAGCCAGGACAAGCATTAAAAGCCACAAAGCCCAAGCAGCATCATATAAAGCCTTCAACCTCCTTAACAAGGAGGAGCACAGATCAGAGATTTATACCTCAGTGCTGAGCACTCCTCCAGCCCCTCCTTCTCGCCAAGGGGATGCTGGGCACCTCTATGCTGAGTTCTGCATGTCCCCATCACTCCTTCACACAAATTCCCAGGACAGAGAGGCCTTCAAACCCTCTACCTCAAGCATACACTGGAAGCCTGACAGAATCCTATGACCCCTACTTGATCCCTGAGTGCAAAGAAGGCAAAACCCTTCCGCCCCTCTCCTTTAGGGCAGTCAGTACCTGCCTCCCACTCCTTCCATCTCCAGGAGCGGGCACTGTGTAGGCATTCTCATACCTGATTCAATCACATAGAGAGAAAAAAAAAAAAAAAAAAGAGACTACAAACAGAAAAAAACAAACCAAAAGTTTGACCTGGGCCCTGGCTTGGAGGACACCCCACCAGCAGGTCACAGGGCACATCAATGGAGAACCACAGCCAGGTGGACCTCATGCATCCACAAGGGTCAGCCCATCATGCAGGGCACGCTTCCACATGTAGTAGGTGGAGCGGGCTGTGAGGGGGAAGCGGGCACTGAACTCCTTGTAGGTGGGGAAGGTCTTCGACTCAAAGCGCTGCTGCAGGAACAGCTTGGCTTGTGCCTTGAACTGGGTGGTGGCAATCACATCCATCACAAACATCTGACTGTTGGCTCTCTCTGACACAGGGTAGCCTGAAATGGTGGCATTGTATGGAGTGGCTGGTGCTGACTTGTCCAGATGCTTGGTTGCTACTTCCATGTGGAGCTGGGGCTTGACACTTGGCTCAGATCTCTGCAGTGCCAGGGAAGTAATCCTGTTCAAAGGCCGATTGGAGCTGCAAAGGCGATGCTGCCCAGATGCTCGGCTGCTACCCTTCCAAAACCAGTAGGTTGTGGAGGAGAGTGTTGGATAGCGTAGGCAAAACTTGCTGAATGGCAGCTGCCACTGCTGGACCTGTCTCCGGGCCACATCTCGCAGCCGCTTCCTCCAGCACAGAGAGGGCTTGAGCTGCAGGAGACTCCTGGCTGCCGGCTGATCTCCATTCAGCTTCTTCCTAGCAGGCAAGCTGCTTGGTTTCAGCTGCAGAAGTGGCTTTTCCATGGGTAAAGGTTTCTGGTTATTCAAGGGAGGCTGGGGGGGTTTGAAGTTGGGGTTCTCTTTGATTGCTTTTCTTCGCCAATTGTAGTAAGTGGACCTGGAGATGCCAGGGAAGCTGTGCTTGAAGCACCTGTAAGGCACCAGAGTGTTCATGGAGATGCATTTCTCCAGGTAAGATTTGGCTCCTCGCATGAAGATCCCTGCTTGGACTGGGTCTAGGGAAGGACTCGGGGGCCTTAAACTTGCCTCTGCCTTTGTTGGCTCATTAACATCAGCCTTCTTTGGAACCTCCCTGTGAAGCTCCCGCAACCCATGGGCCTCAGTCAGATCAGAGGTATCACCATTGACCATGCTCTGCATCTCATGCTTCCAGGCATAATATGTGGATCGGGAGATTTCCGGAAACATTTGTCGGAAGTGCTGGAGCGGGACAACGTTGCCCTCTTGAAAGCAGGACTGGAGGAAGTGTTTAGCTGCAAACCTGGCAGCCGCTTTCTGCCGGTGTTCCCGAGACTGGCGCTTCCAGCGGTAGAAGGTGCTCTTGGTGATGCTGTACCTGTCACGCAGGTTGGAGTAGGTCAGCTGGGGGTCACTATTCAGCAGCTCCAGAGTCTTCATGGGCTGGACAGGAGGCTCTGATGAAGGTATGGTAGGTTCCAGCTCCTCCAGACCAACTACAGCCACAAAGTACTGTGCTTTGAAGACCTGCCTGGAGAGCTGCTGCCCTGACCACATGATGTGGAGAGTGGAGGTCTGAGGGCCACACTTCCTGGGCCGGATGAGCCGGTTGAAATATGGCCGGATCTTCAGGTTGCTCATGGGATAGATTGAGTAGATGTTACACTGCAGCACTGAGGCAAGAGCATAGACATGCCACATATTGGCAAAGGTGCCAGGAAAACAGGTAGCTTTGATATCTGCATCGAAGATAGCCTCCAGGATAGCCATGGGGAGGCTGGTCATCTCTGGTGTCTCCTCCGTGCAGAGTGAGTAGCGGGCAGCCTGCAGCATCACCTTGGAGTCAATCATGCCATTCAGGTAGTACTGCTTGTGCAGCAGCATCTCCACCACTGTGCGCACCTGCAGCTCCAGGCTGAGGCTGGGGTTGCCCCAGAGCAGTACACTGGCTGCCTCAAAGAGGCGGTTCCCCTCACCTTTGCAAACCAGAGGCAGCATGTTACTTGGAGCATCCTCTGGGTACAGGCTCCTGGCTACTCGATCAACTTCTAGCTCCTCTTGAAATTGCCTCCTGCAATAGCCAGGCAGGGAGAAAGATGACAGGGTCCTCTCTGCCTCCAGTGCAGCACTGGCAAGGCCCTCCAGACCAAAGCATTCGGTGGCTTCCTGCAGCTCCTGCAGCACAGACTGCACCAGCTGGTGCCGCTGGATCATCCTGAAGGACAGCAGAAAAGCAGAAGTCACTTGAGATCTAGGCAGGACACGCTCCAGACTGACAGGGCCAGCTCTTCCCTGAAGGTTAGGAAAGGGGAAGAGTATAGAGGAAAGGTCCCTGTTCTCCCCACACCCACAATCCCCCCCAAGGAGACAGGACAAAGCCTAGCCCTACAGGCAGACCTGGGACAGGGAAGTGGATTCTGCCTGCTCTCCAGTGACCTCCTGTGGGCAGCAGGAATGGCACACGGCCTCCAGAGATGCGTGCCTGGGATGGACAGTGAAACTGAGGACTGACTGCATCCATTGGGGAAGGAGATGGGGACGCTCCCTGCCCTGCACAGCTGGCTTTGTACCCGGTCTCACACCTGCAGCTTGGGCCCTGCTGCCAGTGCCTACAGTCAGCAATGAGAAAATCTTGGAGGTAAAGAATTTGTCATCTCATCAGGGACAGAGCAACGCTGTACAGGGGCACAGAGGGACCAGACTACAAAGTGTTCAGCCCAGTAGAAGGTACAAAGAGTTCGCTCCCTCCCTCGAAGCAAGGCTCTGCTTCTGCAACCATCTCATGCAACTAAAAGTCACCACAAAACCTGAGATGGGAGAAGCAGCTGAAGCCAATGCAGGCATGGTTACTACTGCCTGAGCTGACACTAGGTGTCACTTGCTGCTCAGCAGAGAAGCACTGTCAGCCGAGGCAAAGGAGCAAAAGGAACCCTACCAGTTAGGAGGCAGCACAGAAGAGTAGATGGGGCAATAGCTGAGTGGGCAGCTTAGAGGCTGTGTTGAGCCCTCTTCCTCCTTCCAGTTTCAGGAAGCCCCAGTCCTGTGAGCCACTTTTCACTCAAGCAATCCAAGTAGTCAAACTTGCATCCCCTGCTTTGTTAGTGCTCCTAACACCTGCATGGTTCTGCTTCTGCCACTCCTGGAGTTCCCAGTGGGCTACACACTTTACCCCACAATCCAGCCCTTTCAGTACATCCCTTTCCAGCACTGTTTTGCCAACAGCCAGCCTCTCACAGCCCCTCACTCCGCCTACCCCCATTTGCCCACAGTTCACAACACTTCCTCAGAGCAGCCCATTCTGGTCCATTTTCTCCTCATGCATAGCCCTGCTCATTCACGTGACACCCCCCACATATCAGGCATCACTTTGTAGTCTGCCTCATTCCTATCCCAGCTGGAGACTCACCTTCCCACAGCACTTCAGAGGTATCGTTATGCACTCTCAACTCTGCAGGGAGATGGCAAAACAGCAGTGCCAGGCAGGAAAGGCAGCAGTCCTGGAGCAAAGCAGATGTCCTGCCTGACCTTTCCCTATTCTCAGTCCTATTACTACAGTATCTACAGCCTGGTCACAATCAAACAGCAAGTAGAACAAGGTGCCACATATCACACTGCTATACCCGAGCTGCTTCACCCCAGGGAGCCTCTGTGCTGCTGTTGACCCTTCCCTTAACCAAGTCAGCTCCCCTCCCTGCCTCCAGATCCTCCACATCTCTTGCATGATGGAGGTCAGCTGTGGGGAATCACCCAACAGAGTCAACACAGGAGACAGCACACAGTTAAGAAAGGCACAGACTTGCCCTCAAAATCCTCAGTCCAAGTCAGTATGGGGTTGTCTGCTGGGTCTGGCTGGGATGGAGTTAATTTTGTGCACAGCAGCTCCTGTGGTGCTATTTTACATTTGTAACCAACACAATGCTGATAACACACGGAAGTTTTAACTATTGCTAAAGAGTGTTTGCAGAGCATCTAGCCCTTCTGTTTCTCACTGTGCCCCTCCAGTGAAGAGCAGAGGTGACCCTTGGTACAGTCAGAAAAGGAGGGCCACAGCACACCCAAGCCCTCATTCTCCATGGCCACATTGCCCTACAGCCTCCAGGAGAGCTGAGCGAGGTGAGACAAGTTTTTCCCTGACAGGAATGAGAAGCCAGCACAGGCTAGAAAGCACCAGGCATACACCTGGTCCTTATGGCCTGGTGGCCATTTCCCATTCCCTTACAGCTTGAGGGGTGAAAATAGAAGCATGGAATTAAATCATTTTAAGTAATACTCCACAATCTCAATGTCACTGCCAGCTTCTACTGCCTGGAGCTGGCGCAGCAGGATCTCACAGGCACGCCTAACGCAAGAGCCACAGCTCAAGCATCACAGATAAGCTCTGAGCTAGAGTGCAAGGGGCCAGGCAAGGCAGCAGCAGAGGATGTACAGTAGCCAGGGTAAACTCCTTCACTCTCAGCATGGAGGAGCTGCTGTTTAGTGAGGGTTTTCCCCTTTTTCTCCTGCTGAACACAACAGACAAGCACTTCCCAAACCATCCTAACTCCAAGAACCACGCAAGGGAGCTTTTCCCTGCTGATAAAGGAGGCTTTAACTAACCTGGCCTCTTTTGCATTGTAACAGATAAGCAAGCACTTGTAGATCACATTCCCTCACCTAAACCGATGGGCTGGTGGCATCCAGTAGTGCAAGTTCCCCAAGCCAGCCCCAATACGCTCCCACCAGCAGGAATCCAGGAGACTGAGACCAGCAGCACCCAGCAGGGCCGTGCTGGAGCCCCATCAGCTCAGAGTTCCTTCTGAGCCCCAGCTGCAGCCTCAGGCTACCATAGCAGCAAGGGCTTCCACCAGAGTCCAGCGAGAGAAGCCTGCTCCTAGCACTCACATTCCCACCTCTAGGAAAGAGGTAACACTTGAAGAGCAAGAGGGGAAAAAAAAATACAAGAAGAAAAACAAACAAAAAAAAACCCACTGGTACTAACTCAGGCCACAGCATCACAACTTCATCTGCCCAGGAACATTTCCTTAGGAAGGGAAACTTATGCCCGAGCAGCACCTGACAACAGGCACAGCCCTGCTCCGCGGACACACACGTGGGCAGCTCCGCGGCCACCCGAGGCTGCAGCAGCACCGGGCGCGGCTCCGCGGCACGACCGGAGCGGAGCTCCGTGCCCAGCGGGCCAAGTTACAGCCCGCCCTGTCGCCCGGGGGACAAAGGGACGCGCAGCCACGGGGAATGAGAGCCGCCGAGCCCCGCCGGGAGCAGCCGAGAGGGACGGGACGGCTCTGCGGAGCCCCGCGCTGGAGAGGAAGGGAGGCCGAGAAAGCGGCGGCCGCCGTCGGGGCAACCCCGACCGCACTCACCTGGCTCCACGGGTCGCACCCCACCCGCGCCCTCCGCCGCTCCGCACCTTTAAGGGCGGCGGCAGGAAGCGGCGCGGAGCCGCCGCCGCGGCCCCGGTGCCAGCCCCGCAGTGACCCTCGGGAGCGGGCGGCCGCGTGCGGCGCCGGGCCGGGTCGGGCCGGGCCGCCCCTCCCCGCCGGGCTCGGCTGGGCTCGGCTCCCCTCCCCCGCCAGGAAGCGGGCCATCCCCGCCGCCCCGGCCCAGATGAAAGCGGAGCGGGACGGGGGTCACTTCCAAAGCTAAAGTGATAATGGCCATTGTCCTGCCGCCGCCGCGCTTAAAGGGCCCGCGGCGCCCGCCTCTACAGCAGCCTGCTCGGAGCACCCCAGGATGCTGCGGCATCCACCGGCACCCGTGCCCCACGGTGTCCTGCTGTCCCGCAGCAACCTTGGATGGCCGTAGTGCAGCTGTGCGCTTGGGCTGCTGATGTCTGCCGGGCCCTGGTGCTCGGCATGGTGAAGGCATGTGCCACTGCATGGGTGCCAGGTCTGGAGCAGACTACGCTGTGGCCATTGGGCACGTGTCCAAACCTGAGACCACTAGATCTATGAGGGCCCCAGAACGTTCTAGTTTGTCTGCAGGAGGCACCCAGATGACAGCAGCCCTTTTCTTGACCTCACCTACCGTCCACGTTTGTGCCACCCACCTGGGTCAGCCTTCCTTCCTGCTATCTCTGTCCTGCTGCCTAATCTCTGGCCCTGGGTCCCCCTCCTTAACTCCCATACAGACAATGGGTCCATCTGGGGCATCATGTGAGGTTGTGCAAACAGAGTGTGCGCCAGGCACGTCTCTCCAGCATCTCTAAGCTTCCAAACTCAGTTCCACCCTGTATCTTCCTCGCAAGCTCAGAGCACCCAGAGCTTCCTCCAGGACCTTTCTCTTCCCAAGCTCTCCCTACCCAAACCCTTGCCTATTCCAAAGTTCCAGCTGAGCCCTGGGCCTCCCGCCACCCACTGAACCACTCACTCCTGAGATCTCCTGACTTCTCCTAGTCACCACCCTGGGACATGCTGGTGAGGATTGAGCAGTATGGAGACTCAGGGGTATGGAAACTGCTGCTGGCTGCAGCCACCAAGGGTTTACAGTCCCAGCCAGTGAGTTGGTCAATGGCTTGGCCACTATCCAAATCCCAGGGCTGGGGCAGCTCAGAAATATTCCTACTCATCCAATCTTAGGAATGCTTTTTCATCAGAGCAAGACCTACCTCAAAACAGGGCCCCCAGAAGCTGGTCTGCTCCTGGGTGTGGGGGCTCAATGCATTTTAACAGGGGGGAGGCACAACTTTGCCCACAGGGACTGGTCATCAGGCTGCTCACCAATTGGTCTCAGTGCTTCATGATCCTGCACCTACCCTGTGAACTCTGGCTGTAGGCAGCATCTGGCCTCTCCACCCCAGCCTTGGGGAAAAGCCTGGGCCACAACACAGTCCCCTCTTGCAGTGAGGGGCCTGAAATCGTTCCTGATGTCAGACACACCGTGATATTACTGCCCTGTGCACAGCCACCAGCAGGGAACTTCACTTTAGACACTCATTCTGCTGCAGTGTTTGACAATAAGAGGACTGGTGGGGACCCCAGTGATGAGATTCTTGTGAACTTTGGGGAGGAAACCAAACAAGGACCTTTCACACAGGAGAAGTGCATCCTGTTCCCTCTCCAGATGGGGCTGAATGTAGCCTGCTGCCCTCTCTCCCATCTTAGTTGAGGACACAGCATCGCAGGATAAATCACAGTACCCCTCTGCTGAGTTGCTTTCCACCTCCCCAGCAGTGCATACCCCAGAGCACTTTTCCCACTTCTCTTGTCTCACCTCCC